GAAGATTTCCTGCAGAGTGGGTTGCCTTCGGCATTAATCAGCAGAAGTGGAGAGACCACGGAAATGGAAGCAGAGCTGCCTCAGCCTTAAAGGTTAGGACCATGGCCTTTGGAGGTGGAACCACCACAGCCCCCTAGGTTTCAAAGAGCTAGGCCTTCACCAACTTGGTTCTGGAGTGTGGGGCTGCCTGTTCATGTGAGCCAGTGGGATGGAGCCATAGCCGCGGCCCAAGAGTGAGGGGGTGGGGCTGCCATGCCCAAGAGGGAGAGGAATCGGGGCCACCAGGCCAAGGGGTGAGGTCACTAGTCAGGAACTAGGAGACTGGAGTCACCCAGCGGAGGAGATGTGTACAGATACCACCCACTGGAGATCTGTACAGGTGCCAAGTTGACAAGGGGTAGAATTGTGGTGGTTATGTTTGTGTGTCAACTTGGCTGGGCCTGGTTGAGTGGCTGAGCAGCTGGATGTAGTATTCCCCATGATGAGACTGTTAATCAACTCCATGGTGGAATCTACTGTGAGCAGTTGAGTAGCTGCCTTTGGCAATGTGGGCTGCTTCCTGTATATAAGGAGAAGCTTTGAGAATGATCTCTAGCCTATGGCACGCTTGGACCCTGCATGTAGTTGTGTCGTTGCTCAGAGCCTGCTATGCTCTGCTGACCTTGGGACTTACAATGGACTGCCATGTGGTTTGGTAACATCGGGACTGTGCCTTTTTACTTGTCAACCTTGGGGCTTCTCAGCCTCAGCTGCCAGCAGCTGTCTGAATGAAGAAACGCCTCTAGCTCCAGTAGGCCGGGAGCAGGAGGCAGAGCTGGACCAGAAGGCTGGCAGTTCGAACCCACTAGCCACTCCTCAGAAGGAAGGTCGGGCAATCTACTTCCATAGTGATGCTTCCTCAAAAATCCAAGGAGTGGTCGCTATGAGTCAGATCTGACTCCACAGCAGTGAGTTTGGTTTTTATACATATAATAGAGCTAACAGGGGCCTAAATTATGATAACTTTTTAGCCACAGCCAAACACCTTGAAGGAATGAGTCCTTGAACCCAGGGGCTTAGGACCATGGTCACTGGGGACATCAAGCTCAATTGGTCTAACATACTACACAAAAACATTATTATACATACTACTTTGGTGAGTAGCGACTGGGGTCTTAAACGCTTGTGAGCAGCCATCTAAGATGCAACTATTATTCTCTCCATGTTTGGAGCAAAGAACAGCCAAGAAAATCAAAGATGCATGGAAAAATTAGGCCAAGGGACTAGTGAACCATGGAAACCTCAGCCAACATGACCCCTGAGACCAGAAGAACTAGATGGTGCCCAGGTACCACAAACAACCACTCAGAAAGGGATCAAAAGTGGAGATCCTGGATAGAGTGGGAGAAAAATGTGGAACAAAACTCAAAATCATTAAAAAAAAAAAAGGGAGAGAGACCAGGCTTACTGGTCTGATTCAGACTGGTGAAACCCCCAAGACTATGGCCTCAGTCAGTCCTCAGGCTTGGAAATGTACTCACTCCTATGGCTTAACTTCCAGCCAAACAATAGGCTTACAAGTTTAGCAATTACATCAGGCAGCTGGGTACATTCCTTTTAGAACAATCAACCATGGGAGATTAGAATGGCAGCATTTTTCTGGGGAGATATCTCAGAGGACAGAACTGCATAGGAAAGAAGGACACTGGGAAAAGGTAACAACAGAGAGGAAGTGGGAAAAGAGCTGTTATATTGTGGGGATTGCAATCAGCATCGCAAAACAAAACATGTATGAACTGTTGAATGGAAAATGAACTTGCTCTGTGAATTTTCATCCAAACAACAATTTAAAAAAAAAAAAAAGTGTTTCTGTCATAAGGTTGTTGTGAGGATTAGATGACACAACGTATGTTTTAGCATAGTGCACAGCTGCAGCTGCTACATGGTCCTCAGATTTTTTTAGCCTATGCACTTCCTGGGTGAGGTAAGATTCCAAAGAACCATCTAGCCCAACCAATTTTGCTTCCTATGGGGGGAAAATGCACATTTTATCCTGGCAATGTCGTTACCATTCTTTTATTCACAAACAAGCATCTACAAATATAACAAAGAACTCAGCTATGTGATCCATCTAACTTTTGGCCAAAGGGTAAGAGATGACATTTCTGTTACTTTCTTATTTGTCTGCCCACTAGAATATCAGCTTTCTTAAGGGAAGGGTCAAGTCCTATTTACCATAGTATGCCCAGCATATGGCACCAGACATAGTAAACACTCAATTAATTATTGGTTGTTAGTTCAATTATGTCCATGGGTGGTCCAAATGGAGTTACTATACTCAGCTAACTTGAAAGGTTAGAGGTTCTAGTCCACCCAGAGGCACTTTGGAAGTGACATGCATATGGGGTCACTGTGGGTCAGAATTGACTCGATGGCAAATGGTCTACTGGTTAGTTGAGTGAATATAAAGGTGGTTAACTATATTGAGCTTGGGAAAATATGTCATAATTTGCTTAAACCTTTTGAGTTATGATTGGCAAAACTGCAGTAATAAAATTAGAGTAAAGTAACTCTCCCTTTCCCTTTTCCTATGCTGGCCAGGGAAATCTACTCAATTCTGTACATTCTATTCTTGGAACTTGAATAAACATACAAGGTTTGAGAACTTCAGAAATAAGGACAGTACATTATACTGCTTTTAGTACTGAGATGTTTTTATGTACATATACCAAAATAATAAAAAGGTAACATTTTTTAAATAGAACTCTTTTCCCCACACATCATGTCAGTCACAAAACTTTTTATCCAGGTACACCTCATCTTGATTTTCTACTAACCAACATATTTCACATATTCTTGAACAATATCTGTGTTTTAAAAAACACCCACCAAAAAACAGGATAGAGGACAGTGCAGCATTCCTATGACATTTCACTTGGCTCATTTTATCCTCCACTGCATAACTTTTCACTGGTCACAGAATGGAAAATACTTCTTCAAAAACTATCTGTTTTACATCATAAATTAAAGGTCTGATTGGCTGACAAGTCTATCACTCTGTAAGCAGATAAATCAAGCAGGAATTTCAAAAAACCAAACCAAACCCACTACGGTCAAGTCAGATACGACTCATAACAACCCCTCCTTGGGTTTCCGAGTCAGTATCACTATGGAAGTAGATTGCCCCATCTTCCTTCAGAGCAGGAAATTACAGGTTATAAAATAAGCTAAAAAATTTAACAAAGTTATTCAAAACTGGTTTCATGCAAATAACTAAGGAACCAATTCATTTCCACTGCATAAAATAAGTATGGTTAATATTTCCTAATAGAGTCATGACTAATTTTCAAAATTCTTTTAACACGAGATTTTCTAATACGAGCACCATGCTAGACACAGAAATTAAGAAACCAATTAATTGCAGTTCCTACCATTCAGAATTACAACTAGAATGCTCCTCCTTAGATGCAAGGATGGCGAGAATTTGTCTCACGTACTTTGACCACGTTATCAGGAGGGACCAGTCCCTGGAGGACTGGTAGAGAGGACCGTGCTTGGTAGAGAGTCAGCCAAAAAAAGGAAGACCCTCAACAAGATGGACTGACAGTGGCTACAACAACAACGGGCTCAATCATGGCAATGATCGTGAGAATGATACAGTGTTTTGTTTTGTTCTAACACAGGGTTGCTGAGTTGGAACTGACTCAACAGCACCTAACAAAACCCTTCAGATGTAAAGTCTAGTGGGAAAGCTTGATACCCCTCATTGCTGTTGAGTCGGATCAGACTCATAGCGACCCCTCCTTGGGTTGCCAAGGCAGTATCACTACAAAAGTAGATTGCCCAATCCTCCTTCCGAGGAGTGGCTGGTGGGTTTGAACCGCCAGCCTTCTGGTTAGCAGAAGTGCCTTAGGCACTAGGCTACCAAATCTCCCGGAAAGTTTGATAGAAGCACTAAAATAATCAGGAAATGATTCACAGACTTGTGCTTGAAAGCTGAGTAAGATTCTGAAAGGCTAGCAAGACAAAGAAAAGCAGCCAGGCTGTGAAAACATTACAAACACAGGCATGAAGATAAGAGCATGTAGATATATGTTCTTAGAAGGGCCAAGTTACTAGTATGATTGAAAAAGAAGTGTGGAATTGGGAAGTGAAGGAGAATGGTTATTAGTATTTAGGCAACAAAGAACTAAGCAAGGTCTTAAAATAGGAGAGATGTGATCAGATCTGTGTGCTTTTCATTTTTTGGTTTTTTCTGTCTACACATAATCACTCTAGTGCCCTCGGCAGATACATTTTACACTTTAACAGACTGGGTCCTGGTTTCACATGTCAGTCTCATAAATTTGCTAGAAACCTTTTATTAGAAGGTAAACTCATTTGTGGTGTGTTAATCCACCAGATCACCAAGCCTTGAAAGCTAACGGTAAAATATGGATGGTGGTGAATTCATTAAGGCAATGTAATACTGCAGACCTGACTATGTGATCACTTGGCTTTGCCCAGGTGACACAGCAGTGTCATTGTGAGTTTCTTGGTACATCTATAGAATGGAGATCACAATGATTACTTCAATAATCAAAGTAAGGGATGAAGGAACAGAATTAGAGCAGTGGCCTTTTATAGGCTGAGAAATAGAAATTATAACAGATTTCAACAGAGGGGTGAAGGATGAGCAGGAGATTATTCAATGGGTCAAAGAACAGACAACAATAATAACCCCGAGAGACAGAACAAAGAAAGTGCAGGTCCAAGTGGGAAAAAAAGAAAAAATACTTTGGATTTGTTGCATTTAAGGTGTCAACAAAACAGTCATATGGAAATATCTAAAAGGTAGTTGAAAATATGACATGGAATAAGGTCATTAAAGGCATTAAAATGCATTAATAGAAAAAAAAACACCTATAAAGGGAGGTCTGGGGGAGAAAAAAGGACTAAGAATAGAACATTGGGTGAAGTCCTTACAGGTTCAAGCAATACCATAAAACACAAAAACATGAAATGAAATGAGTAATGCCAAGTCAGCTTGTACACAGATGCTTTATTTTGGATGTTAATATACATCAGCATTGTATGCAAGATTCTCTTACAATAGTTTTCCCAATACATCAAAAAACTCAATTTAGTCAGGGTAACTGCTAACTGCTGTATGAATGTGAAAGCCTTATAACAAAATGGAGTATTACATGTATGTAGTCAGTTTCTATGCAAGTATGGCTGCTACATGTATGTCTGGCACTTTTATAGTATATTGAAAGAAATTCAAATGAACACAACAATATAAAGGTGACATAAGATGCCTGACATGTTTAAAACTAAAAATCTTCTTGCAAAATCCAACAAAGCAGTTAACTGGAGGATTCAACCAATACCAATCCAAATATGTGCTATGTCCAGTAAGCCCAGGCTTATCTGCAATATATTACATTTGGGATAATTTAATGCTCAAGAAAAATTACGCTTTAAAAAAATATAGCTCTTTCAAGATATTATACTTTGGTGATTAGAGACTGCAAACATCCAAACTAGCTAAGGGCTTCATTAAAAAAAAAAAAATGAGAAGGAAGAAAGAAATGATCCAGTATGATTTTGCTACAGTCATTGGTTTTACAAAGTGAAATTTTTGTGAGAAGTCCATTAATTAGGAAGAAATCAACATATTAATAAACACTGCTAAGAAGATTCCAATTGGTCCATCTCTTTGTTATCAAGAAGGCATAATCTTAAACCACACATTTTTTTCACTTCTCACTACATTTAATGTGCAAAAAACTAGCAAGTGGATTTAAATGGCTTAAAACCCTTTTAGGTCTACTGCTCAAGAGCTAGGCATTAAAATACTTGGTATTTCAATCTCTAGTAACATAAAAACAGATCAGACAATCTTAAGCTGTTTTTGTTTTGTTTTTTAAGGCTTTCATTTTTTTTAACCTTTTTTGGTATTTGCAAGAATTTGCTAGGTAATGGTTGATTCCATTAAGTTAACTTGAGATCTTGCCATCATTTGCCTTTATCTTTTCACACAGTGCAAGTGGTGGTGGCTCTTTCCTTCTCTCTTAGCAGCAAGCCGATTCTGCTATTTTCTATAGCAGCATACTTCAGGAGTGGAGAGGGAGAGAGTGTGTCAATCATAAATAATTAAAACCACAGTGTACAATTTTATTTACCTGTCAGTGTTTAAGTTGACAGCATACCATTATACGTCACAAAAAAAGTACATAAAATCTACCACAAAAGCAAATAAAAGACATTCTTTCAAGAAAAAATAAGTGCAAACACCTAAAACAGGCAACTGAAGCAACTGTTGTAACCTGTAGAGAAACACAAAACATTTATAAAAGGACAAAATATTTTTATAAATAAAGGATAATGTTCTCTACTTCTGAAACACTGAGTAAATATAATAAACTTCTAAGTGCAGACTGTTTTTAGGGACCAAGGTATCATATTATTTTTTAAACAAAATAAAATGCAAAAATTTCAAACATATACAAATCACCAGATTAATTTATATGACCCCCCAATATAATTTAAAAAGAAAATATTAAATTATTATTTAGTACATTTTTAGAACTACTTTATAACCAACATGATTTAAAGGGCATAGTGCAATATTTAGGTAGATGTGAAATACAATATAGATATTGTATTCTTTGCAGCTATAACTTACTACTGTTTCATACTTAAAACTCAAAATTGTTCTTTACTATGTTAGCTGTAATGACAGGAAACAACATTGGCTTCTAGATGCCCTATACATATGTATATATAAATATCTACATTTAAGCTTTGAAAGTGAAAATAAATTATAAAAACAGACTTCTTTCCAATTTACAGTTATCCTGCTCCTACATACTGTACAATACATTCAGCAAAACTCTCAGCTCTTCTGAGATTTATGAAGAAAATACTGACTCTTTACTAATAAGGAAAAACCTCTTTCAATGTCTTATTTTTAGTACCATGTTCAGATAAATACATTTAACACTGTAGTTTATTTCACTGTTTTTGAAAAATATGAAAAATTAGTAGTGCAACTTCCTATCCTTCCTTTAAATTCCTTTTCACTGTTGTTTCTTTAAAGATGTCAGTCTAAGTAAATCAACACATGAGCATAAGTACTTCATAAAATCATGTATGCCTCCCATATAAATATTAGTTTCAGAAATCATCACACATTACAACAGAATTGTAGCATGGAGAGTAGCAACATGTATCTTGTTTAGAAAATATGTGAAAATTTCCTTTTAGAAAATCTATGAATATTCTAATATTATTTCTGTCTTGTTCTTTAAAAACAATTTTTAAAAATATCATCTCTTAAAAAATAGCCTATGAAACTGCCTACCTCTTTCTTAAATTGGCTTAGCTTTTTGCCTGCCCAATATTTAAAAAATATGCAAACCGTTTTAGGCTTGTTTAAAACTTTAGAAATAATTAATTGCCAAAAATTTCATTGCAACCTAATTTAGTGTAGAATATAACAAAGAAGTAGGGCATTTCATCAGTTCTAATAACAATTACAGTATTAGAGCTCTTGAAGTGCTGCTGCTAGCCGTGTAAGTGCTCAGGTATCTTCTTGCTTGTTCAGTCATGATAAGTTGGTCTTCTGTCTTCCCATAAACCACTGTTTCCCATTCACAATTTGACTAGGAAGAAAATATTAATATTGATGTGAAAATAACTATCCATACTACTTCACAATAGCCTTTTAAAAGTCATTTATTTTACTTATTTCTACTGTTCAGAGGCCTCTGGAGATAGTTTAAAAGTTTTGTTCCCAACAAACAGCTCCCAAACCAAATGAGTAAGTCTCAACGTGGAAAAAAATGTCAGCCTTCATTGCTTCAACACTCATGCAGAAAGATTTAAAGAGAGGATGTAATTTCAAAAATGAGGTAACAATGCTCTATGGCTTGCAGATTAAGGAATTTATTCATAACACAAAATCAAGCTTATGTTTGATTTTTCTTCCCTTGTCAATGAATACAGGTGTGGTGTAGTAAATTACATAGCATAGCTTTTCTAGCCATAAGTCTTTGTAAACTCTGTGGTGGAATTTGCCATGAGCAACTGAGTAGCTCCTGATTGTTAAAGATGTCCACTGGGGTAGTCCTGTTGAGAGGGGCAGGAAGCAATCTTCCGGTAAGTTCTCTTTCTCTCTCAGGTGTATAGAATTCTGATGTTGGGATTGGTTAGTTTGGCCACTCTGCCAGGCTCAAAAGAAGCCCTCCTAGAGACAGGAGTCTCTCTGACTACTGGCTGAGAAAGACGTACTGCTGAGAGAAATGCACTCCTGAGACACACACTTGCTGAGAGAGAGACTGCTGGCTGCTAAATTAGATGGCCGGCTGCAAGAGACTGAGTACATTTCTGAACTTGAATTGTAGCCTGTTGCTTCCCTAATAAACCCCATAATCTATGAGTTCTGTGTGGCCATTGCAGTGAATTATCGAACCCAGCAGAGAGATGGTGGGTGCTGCAGGAGGAACTGTTAGTGTCAAGGTTGGTGAAAGGGCTTGAGGGAAACAGCATGCCTGGCCTCAGCAGGGACAGGCCTTAGGCTACTGATAGTGATTCTGTCTTTCTCTTGTGGGATTAGAGGAGGTCAGAAAATGAGGTCTCCTTGCCTCTTTGGCAACAAGTCATTACATTACATGGCTGAGTGCTATGCAATACATTTTCCCAAAAAGTTGTGTGTTAATTAAATGCTAGGAACTCAAATCACTTTAAATGGATTGAGGATGTGTTATTTGAAGAGCAGTGGCTCAAACCAGAGGTAAGTAGGCTACATTTGACTGGTAAAGATGCTTTCAAGGAATGCTTAAATGTCAGGAATGCTAGTGCTACAGCCACCGTAGTATATAGAAGAAAACTTCCCACTCAATGAACTCTCAAACTCTCTAGGTTGAACTCTTAGTATAGTAAAAAAAATTTCCAACCTTCATTTACAGCTACATACTGACAGCATATCAACTAGAAAAAGTATTTTTGTTTTGTAATTTCTGAGCCAAAAACTTTATTGCAAACTATTATACCAGCAAAATCATGCTGAAACTGCTTCCAACCACTTACCCTTTCATGATAGAAATTTGGTGTTATATATATATATATATATATATATATATATGTTATAGGAGAAAAGGTGCCAGAAGTGAATTTAGGTTTTAAAAATTAATAGTGCTTAAGAAAATCACTTACAGAGTGCAGTGTAGTAAATTACTTTGTGTGGCTTTTCTACCCATAAGTCTTTGTAAACTCCAAGGTGGGATTTTCTATGAGCAACTGAGGAGCTCCTGATTACTGAAGTTGTCCACCTGGAGTATTTCTGTTGGGAGTGGCACAAAACAATGTTCTGGGAGGTGCCCACTCTCTCTCAGGTGCTTAGAGTTCTGAAGCTATAATTGGCTAGTTTGACCACCCTGCCGGGCTCAAAAGGAGGCCTCCTGGAGGCAGAACTCTCTTTGACGGCTGGTTCAGGAAGATGTGCTGCCGAAAGAGACACGCGCCCCTGAAAGAGACACGTGCTGCTGGGAAAGGGACGCAAGAGACACGCATTGCTGAGTGAGACACCGAGGGACCAGCACTGCTGGGAAAGAGACTGCGAGAGACTGTTGGCTGAGGGACGGTGGGCTGGGAGAGAGACTGAGCGTTCTTCCTGAACTTGAGTTGTAGCCTGGTGCTTCCCTAATAAACCTCATAATCCGTGAGTTCTGTGTGGCCACTGCAGCAAATTATCGAACCCAGACAGAGGTAGTGGGTGCTTTGGGAGGAACAGTTGGAGCAAGGGCTGGAGGGGGGAGGCAGCATGTCTGGCCTGGCAGGAATAGGCCTTGGGTTACTGCTGGTAATCCTGTCTTCCTCTTGTAGGGTTAGAGGAGGTCAGAACATGTGGCCTCCTTGCCGTTTTAGCACAGAGTCTTTGGCTACAACTTCAATTGTTTAGTTTATATGTGCCCTGATGAACAAGCTGCTCAAAATCCAAATCTAATTTGAGTAAGAAAATAATGGGGAATACTAAATTACTGTTATAGTAAATTTCAAGGAACCCTGGTGGTGCGGTGGTTAATCACTCAGCTTCTAACCAAAAGGCAGCTTGCGTCCATAAAGATCTACAGCTTTGAAAACCCTATGGGGAACCTGTCCTATAGGGTCACTGTGAATCAGAATCAACTTGACAGCAAGTTGGATTCAATTTATTTAAGTTTGGATTCAATTTATATAATCTGTGATCAAAGTGATAACTGAGTAAACAACAACAAAATTTATTAGAAAAAATGTATAAATCCATACCTGATGATTCCTTTCCAATTTGATAACTTTGCAAGTGTTAGGGTTTAGTTTCTTTTTAGTAAGTGTACATGTTTTGTTGGTTGAATTTATATCTTGTTTTTCAGGAGTCAAGTTGCACCTATTGTCATGTATTTCCAATAATGGTATCATTAATAAAGATGTTATAAATATATTTTCTGACTAAGGGAGAGAAAAAAAAAAGAGGAAAATAAAATAACTAATTCAAAAGTGGACACAAATAAAGGGAATATTGAGTAAGTGGTAGTGGAAGCCCTTTTTATTTCCTTCCAAGAAAGATTTTGGCTCCAATGAAATGCTGGTAATATAGCAATATTAAGTATTTCAGAAATGAACCAAAGATTAGTACTGAAATTTAAAAGTTTGAGAACGACCATTTTTTTGACATCATACATAAGACATCTGACTTCTGTCAAAACACAACAAACATTTAAAAAGAACTAAGATGTAAATAAAATATTCTCTACGGTTAATAGTTCCTCTCTGAATTAGGCAGAATGCTACTAATGGAAACGCCATGAGTATCTAATGAACTGGTCACACAATGAATAAAAGACAAAATCTAGGACTTAAATCAACCATGTTAATTAGAAAGAACTCTTTACAAACCTGCATGTCTGAAATGTCTTCAGTTAATAGTTGAGTATCTGGTTCTTCTTCCCAGTTATCTAAGACTAGTGATTTTCTAACTTTCTTCACAGAAGCAGTATGCTGGAAAGAACAATTTCCAATGGAAACATTACAGCAGAATAACTTGGACAAGAAGAGGTTTTTATTAACTAGAATACTAAAAGATCACCTCTTGTTTACAGCTCTTGTAAGCAGGTTCCTCCTCCTCTTTTAGAAATATGTCTGTTCCAGTTTCTTCTTTTAAAACTTCTCGAATATCTTCTTCCAAGAAGGCAAGTGGCTGTGACTAAATTGTTTTTAAAAGAGTTTTATAAAATCTTTTATAGAAATCTTGTAAGTTTAAAAGAAAGGTTTACTATATATGGGGAGAAATCTCTGTTTCCTCATCTATAGTCAATTCAAATTAAATTACTTAATTACTTAGTTTTATGCAAACATAATATTGCATACTCCAAGCATTGAATTAAGTGTGGCACCTTCATCATTCTAAGATATTCAACAAAAATCTTCCTACTTCAATTAAGATCTTCAGAATTAACAGGAAAGAAAGAATATTTCCCAAGAATTTTCATTTAAGAATAGCGAGAAAGAAAAAAAGGAACTGTGGAACAAATTGGGAATATACTAGTTCTTCTTATTCGACATTTACTGTTCTTATTGCATAGCATGCAATTACTAGTTAACATGTTTCTCTTGCCACTAAGACTGAAAGCAGTAACCATGAGTTTTTTGTTTTTTTAATTTCTATTGTAATTGGGTAGATAGTTTAGAGAGCAAATTTATTTTCCATACAGCAGTTCACATACACTTTTTCTCATGACATTGACTGCAATTTCCAACAATGCAACAGTTCTCTTCCCACTTCCTCCCCCAAAGTTACCTCTTTCCTATGTCTTTCCCTCCCATGCACTCCTGCCCCCTGAGCTGTCTTCCTGTGCATACACAGCCTTTCTATTCTTCCATGATTGATGGTGAAATGAGCTGAAATGTTCAGCTCATATGCCTGTCTTTTGTTTGGCTGGATGCTACAGGAGTGGGTTCAATTCCAGCCCTGAAGGGCAGGTGAAGGGGCCATAGTCTCAGGGGCTTCACCAGGCTCTATCAGACCAGCAAACCTGGTTCTTTTTTTTTCTTTTTAATGATTTTGAGTTTTGTTCCACATTGCTCTCCCACTCTATCCAGGATTGCCTACATAGATCCCCCTCCGAGTGGTTGACAGTGGTAGCTGGGCACCATCTAGTTCTGGTGAAAGCAGTGACCATCAGTTTTTCATCTTGTATACCCAGCCTTAAGCTCAGAGCTTACATAAGTCATTAAAGAAGGAAATCTTCTGGGGGGGGGGGTGCACTTGAATGTAGGTTTAGTAATGAAATAGTTTTAAAATATTATTCATCTACCTTTCTATCAAATAGCTATACATACCTTATAACTCAAGACATTTTAAAAACAATACCAAACTTACACCTAAAATTAACAAAGATCTGGGTTTTTTTTGTTTGTTTGTTTGTTTGTTTTAAATAAAAAGGCAATCAAAGCCCCACTAAATAGCAAGGTATTGTGAACTGTAGAGTAAAATCTAGCCTAACTGGCAGCACTTGAAGACTAGCAGGTTATGTTTCCAGCCAGCAAAGTCAAGCAGAACAGCATTCATATATATGTGTGATTTCACAGCACTTAAAAACACTTTTAAAATGGAAATAGAATTTTAAAATACTCTTCATCTGGAGCCTGAAACATACAAGAATTATATTAGTATTTCTATGTATTTTTCCAAGAGCTTTTGTTTTAAGGATTCCATTTCACCAAGATTAATCCTAATCAATTAATTAGATTAATTCTAATCAATTAGGTGTTCTTAAAAAGAATCTGGAGTCTCTTTTTTCACCCTATGAGAACACAAATGTCCTATGCCCCTAGGAGTAGTGGTTAGGACAAAGGCAAATTCATTCACTAATATGAATTATCATCTTAAATGTCCTAATGTGACTGCTACATTTAGTACTTTTTAGTTTAACCCTACCAAAGTTAATGGAGATTTATATTTTCAGGACTTAAGAGTAAAAACTTCTGAATAAGTTTCAGTAAACAAAAGAATCAACATTTACTAAAAAGGCAATAGATACTTAAATATATCTGATCAAAAGTTCCAAAGACAAAAAGTGTATTTGATTTAAAATAATCCATGTTAGAAAGCTAAGTGGTTAGTACATAGTAGGTACTCAGTAAATAACTGAAGACAAACAAGAGAAATAGAAAACCAGCTTTCCAAAAAGATATGTATGGATCTATAGACATTGTATCAAGCCATGATATTTCCAATCTCCTGGTATGCATGTGAGAGCTGAACAATGAATAAGGAAGACCGAAGAAGAGTTGATGCTTTTGAGTTGTGGTGCTGGCGAAGATTGCTGAAAGTACCATGGACTGCTAAAAGAACTAACAGATCTGTCCTGGAGGAAGTGCAGCCAGAATGCTCCTTGGAAGCAAGAATGGCCAGACTTCGTCTCACCTATTTTGGTCATGTTGTAAGGGACCATTTCCTGGAGAAGGATGTCATGCTTGGTAGGGTGGAGGGTCGACGAAAGAGGGGGAGGCCTTCAACGAGATGGATTGATACGGTGGCTGCAATGATGGGATCAAGTATAGCAGGGATTGTGGGGCTGGCGCGGGATCGGGCAGTGTTTTGTTCTGCTGTGCATGTGGTCGCTATGAGTCAGAAACGACTCGACGGCACTTAACAACAACAACAACATAGACGTTGTTGTTGTTGTTGTTATGTGCCGTCGAGTCGGACCTGACTCATAGCGACCCCCTCTGGGTTTCCAAGGCAGTATCACTATGGAAGTAGATTGCCCCATCATCCTTCCTAGGAGTGGCTGGTGGGTTTGAACTGCCAGCCTTCTGGTTAGCAGTCAAGTGCCTTAGGCACTATGCTACCAGAGCTCCTCTATAGACATTAGAAATTTTAATTACTGTGTAATTACCTTCCTTTTATCTTAAATTACTAACGAAAATTATCTTTTGGCAATAGTAAAATTCTATCCAAATAGCTTTCAGTATTGCTGGTGTTAAATTAAAAATGCCAGGAGGCTAGGAAACAAACTGATAAGGACTTTATTCTAGGTTGTTTGAAATCTATTCTCTCAACCAGTCTTAAGAAAATGACAATTATTCGCCAAATTATATGTTGATCAAATGACCCTGAAGCACTGTAAAATTTTTAAATGCCTTCAAATCATTGTTTACTTATCTAACCTTCTATTAGTCTACATACCCCTATAAAGGTAGGAACATTCAACATTTCATTCCCAAGCCTAGTACAGTGCCTGACACCTATTAGGCACTTAAGCAATCACTACTTGCTGAATTAATGATGAATTTAAAAAATAGCAAAGTATTCAAATAGATTAGTTAAGTCAGTTAGATAATTTCATACATTGGAACACTTTGCAAACATAAACTATGAGATAAACATATATTTATTAACTTAGTTAAATTTCAAAAAATAGAAAACAATGCATAAAATGTGATCTCATTGTTATGTGTACATACATAAATAAAAAGTCTAGAAGCACTAAAAAGAATATGATTATTCATAGCAGTATATGGAGCTAAGTGACAAAAAGACTTAATTAATCCTACTGTGTACTTTTAAAACAGTAATTTAAAAAAAATAAAAAGACTAGAAGATTTGAGAGTATGAGATGCCTTTCGGTATAAAATGACTACTTTGGGAGCTCTGGTGGCGTAGTGCCTAAGGCATTTGACTGCTAACCAGAAGGCTGGTGGGTCAAAGGCCACTAGTTGGAAGGAAGATTGGGCAATCTGCTTCTGTAGAGATACTGCTTCGGAAACCCAAGGAGGGGTCGCTATGAGTCAGAATCGACACGACAGCAGTGAGTTTAGTTTGGTTTTGGTTACGAGAATTTAATTTATTAATGAATCTACCCAAAATATGACAAAAGGTAGAAAAACATTAATTAAAGTACCCTAAAAAAATGACTAATTTTTTTTTAAATCCTATTTTATTTCTAATGAGCCTAATGTCAGAAATCTGTGTCTGCCTAGAATGTCTATGCTTTCCTAAGGTATTTCAACGTTGACAATATATATGAAAGCAGAGATCACTAGAACACTTGCCACCTCTATTCATTCAAGAACTCCTCCTACTACTACTATTAGAATAACAATAGCAGCAACTAATAAGCACATACATTTGTGTTTTATTTAAATTAGGAAAATTCTTTAAAATAAAGAGAGTATACATACCACGATTTTAAGAGGTCCATATTTTTTCTCCTGAGCAGCAAGCGCATTCTTAAAAGGAGTAGGAGTTCTTGGTGTGGTACCCAATATAGATCTTCTAATAGTTGGTGTTCTAAACCTATTCAATCATTTAGATATTTGTATTATAGTCAAAATTTGATTTATACTAATTAAGGAAGGCAAAACCATCACTACATATTCTTGTATATACACATGCTTTATTTAAACATTCCAGAGCTATTGTAAAGTGTGCTTGCCTAAACTAATTCTTATTCCAATCAACCATCTGAAAAATAAATAAAAAGGACTAACACAGAAAAACATAACTAAAAACATTATTTTGCTTGAATTAAAGTCTTCACTCACACTCACTCACTCAAGGCTACACTTTAATTTTTCTTTTTTATTGTTCTAGGTAGTGATATCGGAAGGAACGTTGGGCAATCTATTTCTGTAGTGATACCACCTCGGAAACCCAAGGAGGGGTCCCTGTGAGTCGGGTCCAACTTGTCCGCAGTGAGTGAGTGAGAGTGAGTGAGGTAGTGATATCACCTTGGAAACCCAAGGAGGGGTCACTATGAGTTGTATTCAATTCGATGGCAGAGTTTGGTTTTCTTGGTTTAGGGATAAAACATAAAGTTTATTTATTTTTTAACTCTAGTTCCACATGGATAGGAATTATGATAAATTTATAAAAAGCTAATCTGTTAAAATTGTGCTTCCCATTTTCTCTAACACAATTATTTAATACAAACTTACCCTACATTTTCTTTTTGATCTTTGGGTGTTGTTTCCTTATGAAGAGGAGTTGTAATAAGAACTTTCTGCCCACAAATTGGGGTTGATGTAAATGAAGGATTTTCCATATTAAGTTGTTCATTTCCAGGACATGTGTTAAAAAACTAAAAAGGAAGACAGAGAATTTAAAGATAACTTTAGAAAATTAAAAATCCCCACACATATATTAACTGATAAAATTTTCTAATAATTTCCTCATTTCTCTTAGGAAAAGATTATTAATAATATTACATTTACATTCTATTCCCTGTAAATTAAGCCCCATGATGGCAGGAATTTTGGCTGTTTTGTTCATGGCTGCCTCCTCAGCTTTTATAGCAGTGTTTGGCACATAACAGGAATGCAAAAAATAGTTGTTAAAAGATACTCAGAAGTTACAAAACACATTACAAAAATTGTAAAACAGCATCAAACAGCTAACATAGAAACCACAAAAAAGCCAAAAGTGTTTTAGCTCTTATTAGTAAATAATCTTAAGTGGTCTTTTCTATGAGAATAGTCTGAATTCACTTTCAACATAATTCATTTTACTTGGATCCACAAAGTCCATGGAAGCAGCAGTCAAGAAATCAAGTGATGTATTGCATTGGGGAAATCTGCTGTAAAAGACCTCCTTAAAGTGTTCAAAAGCAAAAATGTCACTTTGAGGACTAGAGCGTGCCTGACCATGATATTTTCAATCGCCTCATATGCATGTGAAAACTGGACAATGAATAAGGAAGACAGAAGAAGAATTGATCACTGACCCATGTCACTTTAGTTTTGTGTGCATCACTGTACATAAATTATATTTCAATAAAATGTATCCAAAAAAAAAAAGAAGAATTGATGCTTTTGAATCATGGTGTTGATGAAAAATACTGAATATACCATAGGCTGCCAGAAGGAACAAATCTTTTTGTGTGTGTGTGTGATTTGGGTGAAGATTTACAGAGCAAATTCACTTTCCATACAGCAGCTCACATATACTTTCTCTCATGTCATTGACCACAATTTACCACAGTGTATCAGCTGCCCTCCACTTCCTCCCCATAGTTACCTCTTCCCAGTGTCCATCCCTCCATACACTCCTGCCCCCTGAGC